CTGTATGTCTGTCTGTATGTCTATGTCTGTCTGTATGTGTATGTCTGTCTGTATGCATGTCTGTCTGTATGTCTGTCTGTATGTCTATGTCTGTCTGTATGTCTACATGCATGTCTATGTTTGTCTGTATGTCTATGTATGTCTGTATGCATGTCTCTATGTCTATGTCTGTGTGTCTGTCTGTATGCATGTCTGTATGCATGTCTGTATGTCTATGTCTGTCTGTCTGTATGTCTATGTATGGCTGTCTGTATGCATGTCTGTATGTCTATGTCTGTCTGTCTGTCTATGCCTGTATGTCTGTGTCTGTATGCCTATGTCTGTATGCCTGCCTGTCTGTATGTCTGTCTGTCTGTCTGTATGTCTGTCTGACTATGCCTGTATGTCTGTCTGTATGTCTATGTCTGTATGTGTCTGTCTGTATGTCTATATGTGTCTGTCTGTCTGTCTGCCTGTATGTCTATATGTCTGTCTGTATGTCTGCCTGCCTGCCTGTCTGTATGTCTGCCTGTCTGTCTGTATGTCTGTCTGTATGTCTATGTCTGTATGCATGTATGTCTATATGCATGTATGTCTGTATGTCTGTCTGTCTGTCTGTCTGTATGTATGTCATTAAGTGTGTATGGATGTCAGTGTCTGTATGAATGTATGTATGCCAGTATGAATGTCTGTCTGTGTATGTATGTGTGTATAGATGTCAGTGTCTGTATGCCAGTATGAATGTATGTCTGTCTGTCTGTATGTCATTATGAATGTGTCTGTGTCTGTATGTCCTTATGCATGTGTGTCTGTATGTATGTTAGTATGTGTCTGTCACTATGTACACCTGTGTGTCTGTATATGTGTGTATGTCTCAGTATGTGTGTGTCAGTATGTATGCCTATATGCGTATTAGTATGTGTGTCTGTTAGTATGTATCAGTGTGTGTGTGTATCTGTGTCTGTGTGTATATTCCTGTGGGCGGGACTTGGAGGCAGTCTCTGTGGGCGGTTTTGGAGGCGGGCCCCCGGGGGCCCAGACCCTAAGCTCAGTTAGGGGCCCCAAAATTTCTGGTGGCAGCCCTGACTGATGGTAATGGTCGCATTCACTGTGACAGATAGAATTTTGGTAAATTGATTTAAAAAAAATAAAACAAAGCAGTGGGATGTGCTACAAAGAAAGGGTAATATGTACATTTATTAAAACATAATCAATTTACAAAAATGTTTGGCCAAAAATATGTCTCCTAAACCTAGCCCCTTTGCTGTCATTACCATAATGCAGAACTTGCCAACACTGGATGACCTGATACATTGCAAGCTCTCGTCTCTTTCTCTGCAACCCTCTTACTCATTTGTCTACATGGACTATCAATTGTGTTTCTTCTAGGGCAAACACTGTATTCACTCTAATTGCCTAATTCTCGTTAAGAACCTTGTAATCTCTCAAGCAGAATATTGGAATTACTATGTATACTAGGCTTACACAAGGTTCACGCTCAGGATAATGCAAACTACAAATCCTATCGTTCTACCTCTGGATTTACAAACCTTGTCAGCCAATTCTGAAACTCCATTCACATACTACATGCAAATATCATATTTCCATTTCAGTTGAACAGTAGAACCCATTAATTGTTTTTCCAAGGATTTAAGAGTATAACGTTTGTCTCAACATCTCAAACCTGTATTACATAGCTTCAACTGTTTATTGTACTCAAGTATGTTTGATTTAAATCATAGTTATGATTCGCAAATTATCCTTTGTATACTACTTCTACGTATCTTTATTTCTATGGAAATTCCCAGTCACATTCAAGAACTCACCTGTTGATGAATAATTCTATAGATTTTATGCAGAAACTTACATTAATGATTGATTATAGATTTTTACACAGATTCCTGCTATTCCTATTAGTAAAGTGAAAATATGGTAAAAAAAAAAATCATTGATTTATTTGATTGAAGTTTTTTTTTTTTTTTTTTTTGCTTGTATGGAAGAACAGAGGACAAAAATCCAGTGATTTAGCACACATATAGGATTAAGGAGACAGATGTTGGGGCATAAAAGGAAAATACTTAGAGGAGTTAAAAGGTACCAAAGATGAATTTACGGCTGTAAGGAAAGATAGTGATTAAGGGGATTAAAGAGACACTCCGAGATAGCAGATGATGATCACAGTTAGCATTAGCTACAGCGAAGACAAGATGAAGAGTTTAGAATCATCAGCTTTCGGAGTAGAGGAGTTAATTCACTGTGATACAAAATGAAGTCATATAAGTTAATATGAAAATGCCAGGGCTGCTCAGGTGTATTTAAGATGGTGAAATCACAGAGGATCAGACGATTAGAGATGAAATACCAGCGTAGATTGTTCAGGCAGTATTAGGTGACAACAAAGCATTACTGTAAATTCAAGTCCTTGTTGTGAATATTTGTATTACACATATAAGATAACTCCTTTTAGTGATTCGCCTTGCTTACCATTCCTCCAAGGATGTACAGTTTCACCCCTCTTTGTTCAGAAGCACAACTTATCTTCCAAGATTATAAATAATTTGTAGGTGGGTGAGAGATAGAGAGATGTTGAGCTGGAGCCACACATAATTTTAGATCCATGCAATACAGAAGGAAAAAAGAATCAGATAATGATAACTGTTGATGTTGGTCATAGCCCTATTTATTTAAATTGCTCACAAGAATGGAGGTATTATAAAAAAAGGGGGAAGGGGAGCAAAGGCCTAAAGAAAGTGGACAGTTTCCATTAGGGTTCATTCTGGCTTTTGATCTAAAAGAATAATGGTTCAGCCTGTAGGGAGTATTCATTCGAAAGACACCTCCCTATAGTATAGGTATAAAGTCATGTGAGCCATCAATAGAATATCCCTAAACAACTGCAACAGTTGCCAATATGGCCACCAAATCAGTAGTTGATAAGTGCCTATGATAGCTCATGGAAATAGTTTCGTTTTAAGGCAGGGTTGTAGGGAACCCCAGGTATAAAATATGTCCACAATGGCTTCATGGGTTGTATGGCAATGGGACACCAAACTTCCTGGTTTCATCCTGGATATTTGAAATGCTGGTTAGATTGAAAAAGTGTAGAGTAACTGGACAGTAGCGACATAATTAAGGTAGTCGTCAAAGGCGTGGTAAACATAGATAAACTGGTTTAAAGTGTTGCAAGTCCACCTCAAAGTCAAACCGCCAGCCTGTAAATTCACCATCACATTAGATTTCGATGGTGAGATGGTTTTGCGTGGCCAAAATATCACCGAGTGTCCTAGATACCAGCGAGTACAGCATAGCTCCATAATATTTCAGTGAGATTAACTTCCAATGCATTAGCAAGTACAGTATAACAACCTCGCTCGCTATATACAGGGGTATTTCAAAGGTTATTTTCTATTATTTAATTAGCAAATTAGCCCGTGTGAAAAATTAGATCAGCTTCATTAGTTTAAAGGACAATTGTCACTTCAAAATATTTTTTTAATATAATAATCCTTTTATCAAGTTTTGAAAAGAAATAGATTTTATTTTCAATAAAGTGTATTTAAAAAAAATTATATATATATATATATATAATTGAAAACCGACAGTTCGTTTTTATGGTTTTCCCTGATTCACTTGCTGCAGAGAAGCAAAGACAACCATAGAGATAAACTGCCCATTTTCAATCACTGTCTGACCCAAGGTGTACGTATATGGTTGAAGGATCCGGTCATGTACTAGTCTCTTTTTCTTACATAGATTAAATTTTTTTTTAAATCTATTACCTTTCAAAACTGGATGAAAGTATTAATATATTAAAACATAGGTTTGAAGAGACAGTTGACCTTTAAGCACCTTATTGATTTAGTGTTCCATGCCTGCCAAGACTTGACTTAAGATTTACTGTGTAAATATATCATATTTTTGCCTGTATGTGGCATAGACCATCTCATATATACAAATTGGCGTTGCCAAATTAAATGCATTTCTATTTCATGAATTCACCTGGTGATTTTTCTCCACTGGCATAGCAGACTACATACGGATACTAGTAAATGCCATTTTCAGGTACCAATTAAGTTGAGCCCCATGTGTGTATTTCATTTACATTTCTATCTGTAAAAACAACTAAAATATCCGATTTAAAGGGACACTACAGTCACCAACAACTATAGCTTAATGTATTTGTTTTGGCACGTATAGTCCGTTCCTGCAGGCTTTTTCATGTAAACACTGTCTGTTCAGAGAAAAGGCAGAGTTTACACTGCTACCTAGGAACACTTCTAGCGGCCACTCCTTAGACAGCCACTGGAGGTGCTGCAGAGTGTGCAGCAATGACGTTCAGTGTCTCCAGGCTCTGCATAGAGAGGCTGAACTTTCCCCATTGAGATGCATTGATTCAATACAGCTCTATGAGGAGATGCTGATTGGCCGGGGCGGCGTTTGGCTCTGTCTCCGGCCCACCTCCTTGGTTGAGATCATCAGAATTGACAATATCAGCCAATCCAATGCTTTCCTGGGGAAAAGTATTGTGATTGGCTGAAATCATCAATTCTGATGATCTCGGCCAAGGAGGTTTATTGGGGGAGAAGCCAATAATGTGAGATTTTACTAGCTTTATGCAGGGGTAAATATTTAAATACTACAGGGTCAGGAATACACATTTGTGTTCCTGACCCCAGTGTTCCTTTAAATGTTGTATATACACCCTGTTCCAAATTATTATGCAAATAATATTTTTTTCATTTACCTAAATAATTTATGTAAATAACAGTCAGCATAATTCTCATTGTATTAAGAGTACGATTCAAATTTTATTGAACAAACCTCCTAATGATAACAGTATTTTTTTTAAACATAAACTTACAATGCCCTGAAAATTGTCATTTGTTGTGTTTGCATCATATTTACTGAAATCAAAAGCTATTTCAATCAAACTTATAACAACATTTTAACTTTTTAAACATTTTAACAGGTCACGTTACATTTTAACATAGGACCCCTTATTTGATAGCAGCTTCACAAGTCTTGCATCCATTGAACTTGTGAGTTTTTGGACAGTTTCTGCTTGAATTTGTTTGCAAGATGTCAGAATAGCCTCCCAGAGCTGCTGTTTGGATGTAAACTGCCTCCCACCCTCATAGATCTTTTGCTTGAGGATGCTCCAAAGGTTCTCAATAGGATTGAGGTCAGGGGATGATGGAGGCCACACCATGACTTTCTCTCCTTTTATCCCCATAGCAGCCATTGATGCAGAGGTATTCTTTGCAGCATGAGATGGTGCATTGTCATGCATGAAGATGATTTTATTACGGAAAACATAGTTCTTCCTTCTGTACCAGGGAAGAAAGTGGTCAGTCAGAAACTCCACATACTTTGCAGAGGTCATCTTTACACTTTTGGGGACCCTAAAGGGGCCGACCAGCTCTCTTCCCATGATTCCAGCCCAAAACATGACTCCACCACCGCCTTGCTGATGTTGCAGCCTTGTTGGAACAGGGTGGCCGTCCACCAAAAATCCACTACTCCATCCAGGGTTGCACGGCACTCATCAGGGAACAGGACTGTTTGAAAACTAGTCTTCATGTATTTTTCTGCCCAATGCAGCCGTTTCTACTTGTGAGCATTGGTTAGTGGTGGCCGAATAGAAGGTTTATGCACAGTTGCAAAACTCTGGAGGACTCTACACCTTGATGTCCGTGGGACTCCAGAGGCACCAGCAGCTTCAAATATCTGTTTGCTGCTATGTAATGGTATTTTAGCAGCTGCTCTCTTGATCTGATGCATGGATCTGTTAGAAATCTTCCTCAATGTGCCTTTATCTGCACGAACCCGTCTGTGCTCTGAATCAGCCACAAATCTCTTAATAGTTCGATGATCACGCTTAGGTTTTCGTGAAATATCTAATGTTTTCATACCTCGCCCAAGGCATTGAACTATTTCACTCTTTTCGGCAGCAGAGAGATCCTTTTTCTTCCCCATATTGCATGAAAATGGAGCTCTGCTTAATAATGTGGAACACCCTCCTTTAGTAGTTTTTCCTTAAATTGGCTCACCTGGCAATCTAATTATCACAGGTGTCCGAGATTGTTTTCAGTGATCAAAAGAGCCCTGAGACACAATGCCATCCATGAGTTAAACTGAAAAACAAAATATTTAATCTTTGTGACACTTAAATAGAATTTGCATAATAATTTGGAACAGGGTGTAATCATAAACCAAAGGTAACTTATAATGCCACCAATTAGCTGTGTATGTTATCATTTTTGTCTGCTCGCAAGACTCAGTTTAGCGTATATACACGACTTATTTTTGTGTAGTTGAACATGTATCAGTGAGCAAAAATAAGAACAAATCAGCTCAGCACTTCCCCTCATCCTTGGTAATAATAGCAAAAGACCAAACACCTATGACACACACATTCCATTATTGCTCTTAAATTTTTTTATTCTCTTCTTACCACATATGTTCTTGTCCACAGTTAAAATCAACATAAGTATAATCTTATTACAAAAAAAAAAAATTAAAAAATTCCAGCGCCTAATTTACAGTCATCGTAGGGATTCTGCAATCGCAGCTGCCTGATGGTCTAGTTTCAATCTAGATCATATAATCTCTCAAGTGATTTCTCTCTATCCGCACTGTTACCACGTATGCATCAAATGCAGATATATTCATAAGAAGAGACGTTTGCAGTGACCAACCAATCATTTTTCAGAAAGATGAACCTCGGGGCTTACATATAATAAAAGGAAAATGGCCGACGGTGATAAGCAAGTTGTACTTTCAAGTTAATTCACTAAACATTCCATAAACAAGTTAAGGACTTAAAATGGTGGCATTTACAGATGCCTTATTGCATGTTATGCCAAATATATTCTTTCAAAGTGCCTTAATAGAATCAACAGATCTCAATGACTCGTGTCAACTTATTTTAACACTAAGAAGGGGCTTGCAAAAATGTAAAAACCCACTCAATGGGTTTTATTTTAGTGTTTATTAACGATCCTTTTTTCCCCCTTTTTAAAAGGGCATACAAGGCCAAGTGGAGAGGAACGTAATCACAGATGAGATACATTGTCATGTGTCGCACAAACACCACCCTTCAGCTCGCTCTACGGAGAGACGCCTGTTTAAAGTAGTCTACTTGCCCACTCAATAGCAGTATTGCAACTGCATGTAGTACCAGAGAGAGCAAAGTATGCGCAGTTTAAATTAACAAGATTTTAATGGTTTCATCTGCAGTCATTTTAAGTAGTTCATAAAAACAAGCAGTTGTCCTATTACTGAGTATCCATTGAGATCGGGGATACTTGTAGGGTAACGGACGTCGGTATTTTATAGCATCAGTTACTCTGCTGGGAAACCAACTCCTGGGAAATAAAACGTCGTAGACGTTCCAGGTATTGGCTGTAGAGTTCAATGTCGTTGTGTCCCGCTCCCTCCACCCATAGTGGCTCCACTGTTTTGGGACAACGCTCGTACAATGCTAATCCATGTGAGAAATCAATCACTTCATCTTCTGTCCCGTGGATTATCAGTACTGGAGAACTTATCTTTGATACCTTTTCGATGCTGTGAATAAAAGAAAACACGTCATTAATATTAAATCAACGTACACGTAAATTACAAATACTAGTCATAATGCGTTACTGCTATGACTTTTTTTTTTTTAAACAGTAATTGCACTTGTAAAAATGGAGTTAGTTATTCCCTGAAGCAGGAATTGTGAAAGGAATGGCTAATTAGTCATCTTCTTGCCTGACAATCTGTCTGTAAATTACTGCTTCAAGGAAATGACTACACGAAAGAACAGATCACACCGGCCCCCACTTGGCTAAAACCAAACACCATTCCTATTTATACTGCTTTATCTGCACCTTATGTTTCAACTGCTATGTCTATATAATTATCATCATAACTGATAGCCGATTGTAGTGGTTATGGTCCTATGGCCAAAGGGCACCATCTCTTGATTTATTTTTTCCCCAAACTATATTGGAGCAGTTTGAAAAAGGCAGGGCTCTCTCTGACACCCTTAGCCCACCCTTTCCTCAGCTGCACTTATAATTGTATTAAAGTATGGATGGAACTCTGGACGGCATGGATAGTATGAGAGTGCTGGAGGAAAGTTAGACCAGCTCTTTTACCTTAGGGATGCATCCCAGCTAAGGCTCCAAGATGGTTCTTATAAAATTTTAACACCATAACTACAACAATGAGCTGTAGTGGTCATGGTGCTTAGAGACCAGCTTTAAAAAAAGAACATTCCAAGGACCATAAGCAGTGCAGCATGTTGTGGTAATTATGGTGAGTTACAAAATGAATAAGAAGAATTTAGACTTTATTGAAGAAGATCTAGAGAACAAGGAGACCCAGAAGGGATGTGATAATACGATACTTATATAGTCAATAGCAATACACCACTGTTCTTGAGAAAGTTCATACGGGATTGAAACTCGTAAACCTTGCTGTGGCCAGGGACTACCTGTACTGGCTCTATACCAAGCCTGGTCCATCTTATATATTGTACAAATAAGTGTTGTTGCTGGGAGTACTCATTATCTTTATTTTCTATATGAAACCATGTATCAGCCACTGGCCACGTGGCTACTGAATGCTGACCTCCTGCTTCACTCTTTTTGGTACTTCTACAAAGTATCACAAGCTTCGGATAAACTACTCATATTGTTACAACTTTTATCTTTGGACTGTATCCCCAAAGGACTGGTAACTTATTTCAAATATTGAAGCCCATGTCTACCTTTCATTAAAGGGACACTATAGTCACCAGAACCCCTACAGCTTAATGTAGTTGGTCTGGTGAGTACAATATGTCCCTACAGGCATTTTCATGTAAACACTGCCTTTTCCGAGAAAAGGCAGAGTTTGCATTGCTGTCTAGGAAATCTGCATTGACAGTCACTCAGATGGCCACTAGAGGTGCTTCCTGGGTCAGTGTTGCACAATGTGCAGCACTGACTTTCAGTGTCTCCACGCTCGGCATAGAGGTGCATTGGATCAGTGCACTCTATGAGGAGATGCTTATTATTGCAGTGTTTTGCTGCGCATGCGCAACAGCTTCCCAATTCTTTCCTATTGTCTGTAAGGCAGCACAAGCGTCCGTTTTGGGGCGCACCGGCTCTGGGGGAGCAAGAATCAAGTAACTAGCAGGAAGGAAGGGCTCCCTCCTACCAGTAACTCAGTGTAGCGTGGCTGAGCGGACTGCGGTACAGGAGCTTAAGTTTCCTGTACCCGGCCGGACTGGCAGGAAGTGCTCACTGAGAGAGCACTTCCTGTCAGTCCGTCCATGTACCGGAAACTAATGCTCCTGTACCACAGTCCGCTGCGCTTGGCCACGCTACAAGAGAGTTAATGAGTCATAGCAGGGAAAGGAGAGGACCACTAAAGAGGGATACACACACAAACACACTAAAGGACAGGAAGGGAGAGAGGGGAGAGGACCACTACGGGACAGGGAGGGGAGGTGAGGGGAAAGGAACACTAAGTGACAGGGAAGAGAGAGGAGAGGTACACTAAAGGACAGGGAAAGGAAGGGAGAGGTACACTAAGTCACAAGGAAGGTCACAGAAGTGTGGTCCTTAAGGGGTTAAAGAACAATTGGCAGTCACATCAATTCGTTTGTTTTTTCCACCTAGATCAAAGGCACAAAAATGTGTGAAAGGCTCAGCCTTTTTCAACCTAGAATAGATAACTATGTACCTATATATCAGAAAATTTTGTCCTTATTTGGCAAGAACAGGAAGCTGTCAATGTATCGCACAATATAAATATCATAAAATGTCACGTAATCTATAAGAGGAAAGTAATGTATTTTAGTGCTTTGCAAAACAGCAGTAACACACTTTCTTTGACTTCATTCCTGATTGTGCAAAATAATGATTTTATCACTGCAATCAATGCTACCAATTTTTTGGCATATGCTTAGGAAAGTATTTTGTCTGAAGCATGCAATTTGTCACATGATCACTCGTCGGAATTCTGTATAGTGTTCTCACCGTGAAACTGTTAATGTAAATAAAGGTTTCTTCCAGTTTCACTCAACTGTAACTCTTATCAACTCTTAGATTACAGTCATTTACCCTTTCCACTCATACCAACTAACCTGTTCTGCAATTGTTTTACAGCAGGTTTCGCTCCTTCTTCCTCAAAAGCTCACTACCACAATCACTTAAACACCGGTGCAATTTAAAAATAACTTATTTTAAAAGCACCTATTCTTATGTTTGACGGAGGTGCAGAACCTTTCAACCTTTTCATAGGTTGAATGATACGGCAGTACTTGCAAAAGAATGTCCTATCGTAGACATTCGACTTGATCTGTTAGCTTTGTTCGGCATGAAACCAAGATACCCCAAACTCAATACAAGTAGTTGAATTTGCACTGTTGCCTGCATCTGCAGCAGTCCCTTCTTTGACTTCCTGTATTGCAAAATCTGGTTCGGGTGCCATGGACAACCAAAAGTAAAATATAAATTAAAATCCACGGGAAGTTCAACAGGTAGGATGCAAAGTGCAATTTATTTAGGCAATCAACAAAACACGATGTTTCGGCCCAATGGCCTTAAAACATGTACATCATATATGATTAAGGCCATTGGGTCAAAATGTCATATTTTGTTGTGTTCCCTGAGGACTGGTAACGTATTTTAAATATTGGAGCCCATGTCTCACTGTCATTAAAGGGACACTATTGTCACTAGATCCACTACAGCTTAATGTAGTTGCTATGGTGTCTATAGCCTGCCTCTACAGGGTTTTCAATTAAACCACTGTCTTTTCAATGCTTTCCTATGGACGCTCTGCACGGTGGAGGCAGCCACTAGAGGCTGGATTAACCCCAAATGTAAACATAGCAGTTTCTCTGAAACTGTTATGTTCACATGTGAAGGGTTAAAACCTGAGGGACCTGGCACCCAGACCACTTCATTGAGCTGAAGTGGTCTGGGTGACTATAGTGTCCCTTTAAGTTAAAACATTAGTATTGTTTTGTTTAAAAATGAATATGCACTTGTTCTATCCGAGGTCTGAAAACACTGCATTTTCTATTTTTTTTAAATATATTTTTGACAAGTTTTCACTTTGTGCAAATAAATGCTCAGAATGACAATAATATTTTTATTTGAAATTTGGGATAAATGTCAGTAGGTTATGTAATAAACCAAAAATGTTCATTTTACTCAGACACATCCCGATAAATAGTAAAACCAGAGGAACCGATCATTTTTCATTGATCTCTTACGTGGTTCCAGAGCGCGCACACACACACACGCAATATAACAGTGCTCACAAAACATACAACTTAATAAATGATTTGCCATGCGGTTTTCTTTCTAGCTGGAGGTTCAAGCTTCCTTTTTTGTCCAAAATCGTTTTACTACCGATATACAAGAAGGATGTACAACTGAAAGTAATGTTGAGATCAGGAAACGTTTTCCCCGAAGCAACGTAACTTCACAAGTTTGAACTTACATATGTGGTTCTAGAAGGAATCCCGCATGTAGAAACAATTTTTGTTTCTACAAGGTCATATACTTGCCTCCAGCACAGAAAGTACTTATTAACTAAAAAAAAAAAAAAAATAAATAGTCCAGCCTCCTATACAACCTTACATTCTGTCAAGTCATTATCGTGGGACTTTTAGAAAATATTGTTCCTAACGAACAGTTAAATAGTTAAGCTATTGGTTCTGATTTTTTTCCAAGGATACTTTGATTATAAGAACTGCTACAATTAAATAAAAATATTAAAAAAGAAACTAATAAAAATCCTTGAGTTTGTTTCTTTGCCTTTCTTTTGGAAAGCATTGTCTAATTTGTGTACAACCTACAGTAATCTTTATCAGAGAACCGATTGTTCTGCTAACTCGTTATTTTTCTATACAAAGAAAGCAATTGTGCTGGAATTGTGACTATTTACTGCTAGTAACAAGGTTATCTCAACGTTATTGCAGGATTTACATATTGTTTTCATCTGATCCTTTTTAATTAGTTTGAACAACAATAATTCCCAAGACTACTATTATTCAGTTTAATTAATTAGTACCACCCTCATTGATTCTATGGACGATCCATTAACACTATAAGCACTAAAACAAATTTAGCTTAATGAAGCAGTTATGGTGTATAGATCCTAGCCACACCTCCCTGCATGTGACTTCCACAGCCTTACTAAACACTTCCTGTAAAGAGAGCGCTAATATTTAAAAATTCAAATTTCTTATCTCCTGCTCTGTTAATAGTCTGCAGAAGTCTCCTGTGTGATTAAAGTTCAATTAACAGAGCATGAGTTAAAAACTGTTCTGCTGTGACATCTGATTCAAAATGAAACAAACACTTTTTTCATGTTGGCTGTGTGAGTCATGGCCAGGGGAGGTGTGGCTAGGACTGGAAAAACAGAAACAAAAGTAATTTAACTCCTAAATGTCATAGAATTGAGCAGCAAGCCTACAGAGGCATGATCTATACACTAAAACTACTTAATTAAGTCAAAGTTGTTTTGGTGCTTAGATTATCACTTTAATAGTTTAATGGGGGGAGGGGAGGTCTTAAAAGACAATTGATACACAAAACAATTTATTGGCAATGTCAACTTCAGGCAGCTACACACATAACCTATTCTTTACCCTAGCAAAATTGATAGGTAAAGTTTAAATTGGAAAATATGATGTTTAAGATTACACAAGCCTTTTCCAAGTGGAATGCCGTCAATGGATTTGAGAGGCACCAGACCTACCACATATTTTATGCATAGCATCCTACAATGCATTGCACATGGCATCTCATATCTCAAGCACAGCACCAGAAGGGCATTGATAGGTACATTGATAAACTAACTTTATTTCGAGTTGTTTGGCTAGCACAATATATATATATATATATAGATGAGCTGTCAGAACTACAAAACTAGACTATGTCATACTTGTTAACTCAGAACAGAGAGTTCCATTACATTTGCTGGTTTGCCAAATTATATTAAACTATGATTTAATAGCCTGCATACAGCACAGCCTGCAGAGGTTTTATTTAAGGTGGGGTACATATAGACTATACCAGATAAAAGGTATTCCATTTGGACATGTATCCTTGCATAAAAGTCTCTTATAAGAAGTGCTATTTAATATTTTAATTTTGTCCATATGTCAACCTTAAATATGGATTCCTAAAACCTTCCCGAGCAAGTATTAAAACATGTTCCTGCAAGTAATGCTATGAAACGTATCTCCTGCCTAAAGCCATTTCTTGCTTAAAACCAAACCTTAATATCACGTACTTTGGGAAGGCATCGAAGCAGTAGGTTTTCTTAGTGTCAGGAAAGGCAACTCGCATCCCCGAGGTCAGAGGTGAATGCAGGATCACAGCTGCGCACTCATAGCGGGATGCCAAGTCCACGGTTGGCACTGTGCCAATACTCTGTCCATACAGCAGGATGTTTTCTGGGCATATGCCATACCTTGGGAGAGAAAAGAAGATAAGTGACACCATTCTTATTACGGTTTAGGAGTGCATGGAAGCTGAGACGGGACCAGGTGACTCTTTTTTAGAATTACAAAATACCATCTGTGGCACCTCTACATCTAGGTCTTTCACCCTTTGCACTGCAGGTCTCGGCAAAGGGAGAGTAGGGAGAAACCCTCTCCATACTAGAGCCATCAAGGTTGCTTGCAGGATGCTCCTAAAGGGCACCGATTGTGCCAGGTGGTATATGCAGAGGTCGGTACAGACAGATTGCAGGTCAGATGGTGCTTTGGTGCCAACTACAATCCAGAGTGTCCTGCAATCTGGACAGGTCTGGTTATATTTCCAGAGTTCACCTGCTGAAACCCTGCTTTATCTGGGAAGTAAACCTCGAGGATATTGCACCTGTTTTCTACAATTACACTATAGAACAGTACACAGAGTTCTCAAACTCCTCATCTAAATTCAGTGATAGGCAGATAATCTTAAAGTACCATTCTTATATAATCAAGGATCCAAATGCCAAGACCTAGTCTACTAGCCAGTTCTAAAAATTCCTTGCCACTTAAAATCCCACTTTTTCGACATGCAATGGGTGGGACTGAAGGAGTTTTTTTTTGGATCAATAAGGGTTTCTCAAATGCTTGATACAAGTTTTTTTATTTTAATTTTATTGAATTTTCCCTTTAAGCATCAATGCTGTGTCAAGCATGCTCAGACTATTGTAGAGAACACAAATAGCATTGTATAGCTGTAAAATCTACGCAAGAAAGTGGGCTTTTTTTTTTGTAAACACACAGAAAAGTACAGTCATCTAATTGACATGCAATGGTATTATGGTCTCGAGGTTTTCCTAAGGACTAGTACTGCTCAGGCATGAGAATTTTTTTTTTCCTGCCAACTCAGCACAGATACACCTTCTTTGAAACTGCAATTTGTAATGACAGCATTTTAGGGCAAGTCCCAAGAGCACCATAGGACCATATGTTTTATAATGATTTGAGTGTCCTTTTAATTGTGCTATTTTATCTACAATAACTTATAAAATATATTTACAGCAACATCACTTCCAGTGAAGGAAAATTGACAAAAATGTCAAGTTGTTTTGTTCCTAAACTCGGAGGGGAAATCTGTACGTAAAAATCAACAAACACACAGTTAGTTGTAGCAACAGTCGTAAGGATTTTCTAAGTCCTCCTCATTGTGTTATATCACATGACAAAAGACAAGTTGAAAACACTCCCCCTACATTCCGGACAGCACGGTACACGTAATTAATTAAACAGGCCACACAATGCCACTGTCAAATCTCACCAGTTCCTAGTTTGGAATCCCCAGTGTGACTTGAAACTGCCCTGTTACTTTGGATTAATTCACAAAGATATAATCTTTAGAAAATACTCAATGCAGTCATTCGCTGACTGCATTGAAATTTCTTCAAAACTTTACCACTATCAAAACATATCACGAAACAAAATACGATCTTTTCTGCCTTGTTGCTATTTCTGAGTTTGCCAAAAGGCCAAGGACCTATAACGTTTTGTCATTTCCCATCAGCCATCACTGGGGACTGGTGGAAAAGGTATCTTCTTGCGCAGTGAGCAATAAGTTCAATGGAGGAGTTCTTGTGATATTGATAAACGCAAAATATGAAAAAACAAGCAAACGACAGTGCCGCCTTAAAATGGAAATATTAGGTTATTGTAATGAATACATAAACTATAAAAATAAACAAGTAAATGGAACTTACATTAAAAGAACACTAAGCACCATAACTACTACAGCAGTTTGAGTTCTTACATGGGGGACACCGAGCACCAGTCCCTGCCTTCATTACATCCTCATCTCTACCGTAAAGTTCTCTGTCTGAACTAAGCTTGCGGTTCAGTGCTTAGCTCCATGGCGGAGGGCAATTTGCTGACGCTCTCAGCCAACAAGCTAGTCCTGCACCGCAGGGCTTAGTGGAGGTAAGGTTGTGGAAGCTCCTACTCATGAGCTTCTGGCTGTGCAGAGGGGCAGAGAGTGGCAAATAGCTGACCCCAGGTAAGGAGTCAAACTGCTCTAAAAAGGTTAAACTACTTACAATGGGGGGAGCCAGGGCATTCCTGGCACCATAACCACTGCATCACGCTGTAGTGATTATGGTGTTTGGAGTGTTCCTTTAAAATAGTATTAACAAAAAACAAAACACATGATGGATGAAAGTGTTTAAAATTATATTACACTGTTCAATAGCTGCTGGATTATATCACATAATGAGACTTTTTAATACGTTAGAATTCATTTTTTTTTTTTCTCTCATTTTATTATTACTTGGATCAAGTTTGTAGATTATTTTGAACTAATGTACTCACCGGGTACGCAGAGCCTGCCAGGCGGCATCAATGTCAGCGTAGAGATTCTTTTCAGAGGGCCGTCCTGAGCTTGCTCCGTATCCAGAATAATCGTAGGAAAAGATGTTACAATTGATGCGCGTTCCAAGGCCCAAATAGAAACTGCTCATCTGGCCCAAATCTACAGCATTGCCGTGAGAGAATAGCACGGTGAACCTGTAGAAAAGGGTGTGGGAACACAGTAAAAGGGAAAGCAAACAAGGTTGAATTAGTTCACTACAAACATTATTGTTAAAAAAAAAAAAGGAAGAATGGCAGACGAAGGTGAGGAAGAACTTAAAGTGGTGGTAAATATGTTCAGAAAAGTTTTTTGAGTTTTACAGGACAGAAAAAGTAAAATTAGCTAGAATTGCAATTGGAAGAAAACAAAGTTTGAAAAATTCACAAATCACATTAAAGATTCAACTTTCCCCCCTTCCAAAATAAATAAACGCAATTCAGTAAATACTAAATTAGACAAGTAAACAACCAACACTACAACATTAAGCCCATACCTTGCGCCGGGCACACAACGGATGTACATGCAGGCGATTCGATTTCCTCGATTACTCTTGGTCATGAAAACCTCTATGGTGTCCAGCTCCCGCTGAGAGTATTGGAAGTCGGCACGATCCGTGAGATGTAGCTTCCATCTTCCCATAATCCCTGTTGCGCCACGTCCACTGCCAGTCGCAGGGGGTGCTTCCGCTTCAGGTACAATGGCATAGGTGGGTTGAGGTGGCAAGAATGCTAATTTTGCCGCAATTCTGCCAGGACACGGCGGGCAACAAAAGAGGCAGCACAACTCTTTGATGGAAAACCCGTTCATCTCCCAATTACTCCCAAAAAATGATCAAAAGAAAATGTAAAAAAAGAAAAAGAAAGGGGACACCTATTTTTGCAAGGATTTAAAATGTCTCAATATATAAATATATATATAAAAATATCGTGTTAATTATAGCCCATGCTGGAATGGGTTTTTAACCAAAACTGTAGGATTTTAATCCAAATGTACAGCTTCTACAGGAAACATCCATTTTAAAGACTGCACAATATTTCACAAATAAAATACATTTGTTTTGGTCAGTCCTTCGCGGGCAATCTGAAGATTTATTTTTTTCTGGAAATTTGAATAAATTATAAGATCATGGACTGTGTGAGGTTTTCACACAAAAAAGGCCCAAAATGTAGCTACAAGTTTGATATATTTTGGATGGTTAAAAAAAAAATAAAAAATATGAAAAATCTAAAAGGAGCTCCAGGCAAAAAATATTCACAGAGTCAAGTATTTCCAGTCTGGCCAGGGAATGCAGAGAGTAGAAACACCTATAAAAGTCATAGTTTTAAAATACATATAAGAGTGTACAAATATGCATGTTTTCTTAGATTTGAAAAAAAAATAAAAAATTCTAACTCGTTTGGAACCTGAGTCTTGAGTGTTCCAAAGCTGGAATTCTGAATATCTGGAGCCTCTGGCTGGGAGGTCAATCCGGTTAAAGGTCTCTGGAGTAGATCAGATAAATGGTGGTCGTCTACTGGGTGCTTCTAGAGGTAGGTAGCCCTGTTTTCAGTGAGGAGCTACCGGCCGGACAGGTATCTTCTCCACCTGCCGATCAACACAGGTAGATAGTCTCTGTCTGTCTGTCTGTCCCGTGTCTCCTCTGTCACTTCCTCGGTCACACTATGACGTAGATCTCGTTGTCCCAGGCCACCCCTCTGCGCCGGCAGTCTCTCCCTGTCCCTGTCTCTCTCTCTCTCTCTCTCTCTGTTTCTCCAGGTGCCGGATGTGACTCTCAGACTCAGACTGGAAGTGACGAAGGGATAGAGAGAGAAAGGGAGACAAGGAGAGAGAGAGTGTGACAAGGAGGGTGGGGAGGAGAGGTAGTGAGTTACAGGGAGGGAGGGGTGACATACATGGGAAGAGACAGCTGATTCCAGGAAGAGAATCACTTTAAGTGTCTCCTGTATGTCAAATTATAATGTCTCTCCTTATCCTGCCCAGCTGGGGAGGAGGGAGGGCACTGGGTTATGTATCAAAACATCACACTGAAGGAGGAGAGAAATATATAAAAATAGACCCATACACTATAAATCCATATCCTGCTATTGCCTATCATTCCACTGATAACTATGATTTTATAAAGTGTTGTTTTTCGCCCCCCTCCCCCCCCAGTTTTATTTATCATTGGGTATTGTCATTTGTTAAAGTGTCCTGGTGTAAAATTGGATATAAAGATTATCATCCATTTTCCATAACCGATATGTTTATGAAACTGATATTCAGATATACAGGGATTATCTGGAGAAAGGTATATTCACCCACAGATATCATTTGAGGAAATTTGGAATTAAATTTGCCATGTAGATTTTAGTTTGCTACAGTTCATAATTTAGTGGAGTCCTCTCAGTGAGTTATCCTACAGTCTCTTTTTTTTCTCCTTTGTTCTGATTCTGTTAGCTATCCTTGTTTTCTTCTTATTCTTTGTTATCCCTTCAAAAGTACATTCCAATGCAAAAAAAACAAAAAACAAAAGAAGAGACTATAAAATCATTGTTTAGTAGATATAACCCCAATGAAAACATGCATGTATTTAAAGGACCACTATAGTCACCCAGACCACTTCAGCTCAATGGTTCAGAGAAACTGCTATGTTTACATTGCAGGGTTAATCCAGCCTCTAGTGCAGGCTTCCCAAACTCCGGCCCTCCAGATGTTGCTGAACTACAACTCCCATGATTCTATGAATTAAATAGATAGGCTGAGAATCATAGGAGTTGTAGTTCAGCAACATCTGGAGGGCTGGAGTTTAGGGAAGCCTGCTCTAGTGGCTGTCTTCCTGACAGCCGCTAGAGGCGCTTCTGCAACGCTCAATGCGAAAATCGTATTGAGCACGCAGAACATGCATAGGAAAGCATTGAGAAATGCTTTCCTATGGGCATTTTTAATGTGCGTGCGGCTCTGGCCGCGCATGCGCATTCGGCTCCACTCGGGAGCTGACGTCGAGGGAGCCTGGCTCTGGATAAAGGTAAGTGGTTGAAGGTGTTTTAACCCCTTCAGCTCAGTGAGAGGGGGGCCCTGAGGGGGGACCAAAGGATTATATAGTGCCAGGAAAACAAGTTTATTTTCCTGACACTATAGTGGTCCTTTAATTATGCATTTTATTCATTGGGGGTATATGTAAAAACAGCTTACAAGTGCTGCAGTTCTCTTGTCTGCAGCATTTGCAAACCATCTCCTACTTCTAACCCAGCCCAGACTTTTTTTGGCTGTCCAAGCACAAACTTTGTAGTGCAGATCAATGAGAAGTCTCATAGGGGTGTCATTAGCTAGCCCGGAACTAGAGATCTGGGCTGGCAAATTTTAATTATGTCCAACTTTGTTTCAAGTTGTTTCACATGTCTGTCATTGGCTGAGAGCGGTCAGCTGATGCTCTCAGCCAGTGAATGTTGACTGCCGCATACCTGGACCACCTGGTAGCCTTCAAAACCTGGGTAGACGCAGGTAAGAGAGCAAACCATTGCTAAATAGTTGCCACGTTACAGGGAATCCAGGCCAGGGTACTATTGGCATCATAACCACTATAGTGGGCTGTAGTGGTTATGATGCATTGGATAACCCTTCACTAATTTGAAGTGTTCATGGTGCTTGGCGTCTGAATGTGCCCAGCTGACGCTCTCAGCCAATAAATGAGCTGCGGTATCAGTAACCGAAGCCAGATGTATGTTACTCGGCAGAGAGGCAGGTAAGAGGGCAAACTGTTGCAGAACGGTGTGCCCTATTACCAGGGGTTGGCAGCAGGGTACTCCTAGCATCCAAACCACTACAGCAGGGGTCCTCAAACTCCAGCCCCAAGATGTTGCTAAACCACAACTCCCATGATTCTCTGGCTATCTATGTAATTCAAAGAATCATGGGAGTTGTAGTTCAGCAACATCTGGAGGGCCACAGTTTGAGGACCTCTGCGCTACAGTGTTGTTATAGTTATGATGCTTGGAAAAACCCTTTAAGAGCCACTTGTCACACTTAACAGATAACACAACCTATTCCCTAAATAACTAGTGGCAGAACATGGTGTCCTGGTTATATAGCTATGGAAGCACAGTGCAGTCCTGCAGTAATTCATTTATTGGGACAATCCATTATAGATCCTTAGATAATATATTTATTTTCTTTAATTTTTTTTTTATTATGAATGCAAGATGTAACTGACATGTCATGCATGATACCATCAATAATAAAGCGAATAGGATTAAATAACAATGTTGACAGTCCATAGGAAATATTTTACATTCACATTTTCAAAAGTATAACAGGGATGATATATTTATATTTTTAACCTGAGTGAGTCATTTTTCTTGTTTAGCTTCAAGGTCCCCTATTTTTGAAATAAGAAAGGGTGGGGAAAGCCTTTAACCCCTTAAGGACCAAACTTCTGGAATAAAAGGGAATCATGACATGTCACACATGTCATGTGTCCTTAAGGGGTTAAACTCACCCGTTCTCCAGTGCCTGTAAGTACTTTGCCAGTCAGCCTCTGCATTAGGATTATCTCAGTTCAATCCAACGCTTCTCAATGCTTCTATGGTGCAAGCACAGCACTCAGATGCTTCTCATCTCCGAGAAGCATTCAGCGTCAGTTTGCTTCAGACCTTTAAATTTTTACTGAACAAATCCTTCTACTGTTAACATGACAGGCAACAGAGGCACATTTATGGCCAAATGTAGATGTCAATGTTTTACATTGCTAGACTGCAGGGACAGGGTCTACACACCACAACCACTTAATCACAAAAATGGATTGGTGCTTACTGCGTCCCTTTAAAAAGCGAGTTGTGGTGAGCTAACAACTGGAACTGAAAATCTAACATAAAAAGACAAGTTGGAAAAGACGTTCGGTTAATATAATTCACGTTGTTTGTCGTCTTACCACAAATGACTGTTTTGTGACTATAGTTGTCAGTGTGCATGTGTTTTTTATATTTCTTTAATGTACCAGCCCTGGGCCTCTCTGTGTGCCTACAAGTCAAATTAAACAACACATTCCTTCCAGCTATAAGAATTTGGAATCTAGTGCTGCATTAACAAACATAATTAACATGTGTAATTAAATCTAATAAATCAGGTCACTTCCTGCAACAGTTAGTCAGCAATCTGCATATGGTAAATACACGTGTAGGGATTCTTGGACAGACAGCAGTGTGTGGGAGTGTTTTGTTGACATATATGTGCATATCTAAAGTTCTGGATATTCCAGGAAATCACTCGTATTTTTTTTTTCATACATCCCATCAGACTTTTAAAAAAAATTTTTTTTTTTAAACTGTATATTGCACCTACATGCTAGTCCTATATTTCCCAGTATATAGGGCAGTATATAGTCAACCCACTTTTGTTTGTCTGGGTACTCAAGGTAAATCCAAAGTAAGCAGGTTTATTGGAGCAAATGAAAGCAACGTCTCGGCCCACAACAAGAGGCGAAACATTGCTTTCATCTTCTCCAATAAACCTGCTCACTTTAGATTTACCCTGAGTGCCTGGACCATGATTTATTTTCTGAAAATTACATTGTCAAGATTGGCCAATAGTGTTGTCACGAACTGTTCGCAAGCTTGTCGCGAACTGTTCGCAAACTTGTCGCGAACTGTTCGCCACGAACCGTTCGCGGCAAACTCCGGTCAGCTGACACATCCCGGACAATCTCCAGCAGACCCTCCCACCTCCTGGACAGCATCCATGTTGAAGCTGCCTTCAACATGGATGCTGTCCAGGAGGTGGGAGGGTCTGGCAGGGAGGGTCTGCTGGAGATTGGCCGGGATGTGTCAGCTGACCGGAGTTCCGTGGCGAACCGTTCGCAAAAAGTTCGCGACAACACTATTGGCCAACCTCAAGCCCTGTTGCACCCGGTTGCAGTGCAGTATCCTTTACAGTAATTACTCTTGTTTGTCTGTCCAAATGCCTGTCATCCACTTTTGCCTTTATCCTATCATGCACAATTAAGTCCTGCGCTCAAACTCCCACTACGCCTGGACGGCAGCAACGACTATAGTACACATCAACCCCAATACATACAATAAAAAAAGTTACTTGCTCACTAGTCCCAAACCCCTATGAACATTTAAATAACTGGAGGTTTTAGTATACCAATTCCATATTTTTCTCCCCAAGTCCAGGAAGGGGTATGTATTTAAATGACGCATAGCATTTTCTTTTTAAAATGTAATATAACCTGTCCCTGTAGGCTTGTGTTTATTGTCAAAACAGATTTGATGTTAGAATATCTGTGGATACAGGACCACACACCATGCTATAGAACTAAAAAAGGCATAAAACTATTTGCTGACTATGGGCTAGTTTTTGTTATTGTTATTTTGTTTTACTGACAAGCTAAAAAAAAAATATATATTGCAAATATTAGCGAGGCTCTCCCTAAACCAGCTGGAGATCAAACGATCTCCCTGCCCAGCCCCGAGCCCCCAGATCTGCTCAAGGGAGCGTTACAGTCTGTACCTGTATGGGGGCATGTCAGTGTAAGAGCGAACTTCAACCAGGGCCGTATTTACGTTTCAGGTGTCTGTAGGCATAACATTATAAGCCATCCTCTGCTCCCCAACCCCCCAAAAAGACAGATAAAGTAAGTATAATTAAATTAAAGGAACACTATAGTCACCTAAACAACTTTAGCTTAATGAAGCAGTTTTAGTGTATAGATCATACTTCTCAGGTTTCACTGCCATTTAGGAGTTAAAACCTCCCGCACACAGCACACCTCGCCTGGCTCTGATTGACAGAGCATGCATGAAAAAACTGGTTTCACTTGATGCTTTCCATGCCTCCCACGATGCTTTGCATGCCTTTTAGAATGCTGTTTAGAATGACAAATCATCATGGAAGCTGTAGTTTTAAAACATTTAAGGATCTACCTTTTGGGTACCGCTGAC